CTAAACCCTAAACCCTAATTTAGCGTATACACCCCACTGGCCGCTAGTAGGACCCTGTGGACAAGCACTTCAATCTGTGCAAAGGTCTTTTGAGTCTTTACTTTTAATTCTTTAAAGTCTTTATTTTATTTCTTTAAAGTCTTTACTTTTTTATTTTAAAAAATAGACTTTCTGTAGTTTGAAGTCTTTAATACTTTATTTTATTTAAAGTCTTTAATATTTTATATTCTCTAAAAGTCTTTCCTTTTTATACTTTAGAGTCTTTGAAGTCTTTACTTTTTATTGTTTAAAGTCTTTAAAGTCTTTAATTTTTATACTTTAAAGTCTTTAAAGTCTTTACTTTAATAATTTATATTCTTTAAAGTCTTCACTTTATATTATTTATATTCTTTAAGGTCTTTAATTTTTAGAATATATATTCTTTAAAGTCTTTAATTTTTATAATTTATATTCTTTAAAGTCTTTAATTTATATATAAATATATATATATAAAGGATATAATTTATATTCTTTAAAGTCTTTAATTTATATAATTTATATTCTTTAAAGTCTTCACTTTATATTATTTACATTCTTTAAAGTCTTTAATTTATATATAAATATATATATTTATAAATTTATATTCTTGAAAGTATAAAAAGTATATAATTTATATTCTTTAAAGTCTTTTTTTTTAAGGTCTTCACAGGCAATCCTGAAGTCTTTACTCCAAAGTGCATTCTTCATACTTTAGAGTTTATACTTTTTATATTTTATTTTATACTTTTATACTTTAGAGTTTCTACTTTTTATATTTTATTTTATACTTTTTATAATTTAGAGTTTATACTTTTTTATATTTTATTTTATACTTTTATACTTTGGAGGCTTTACTATTTATACTTTGGTTTATACTACTACGCCTACCTAGTTAGCTAGCTAGCTAGCTGGCTAGCTAGCTAGCTAGCTAGCTAGCCGGCTAGCTGGCTAGCGAGATTGACAGATAGCCAGCTAGCTAGCTAGCTGGCTAGCTCCCTGGCTAGCTAGCTAGCTAGCTGCCTAGCTAGCTAGCTGGCTAGCTAGCTAGCTGGCTCGCGGCTCGCCGGCTATACCGATGGCGCAGGGGAGCTTACTGGCTAGCTAGCTAGCTGGCCAGCGGCTTGCTGGCCGGAGAGGCAGCTAGCCAGCTGGCTGCCTTACCTGTTGGACTTGTTTGCTTCCTGTGTTCATATTTGAGTGGCCCCTTTCGTGTGATCTGCGCCGTTCCGGAGTTTGGGGTTTAGGGTTTAGGGTTTAGGGTTTAGGGTTTAGGGTTTAGGGTTTGTGCTTTCTGTGCAGGCTGGCAGTGTGCTAGGAGGCTGGATTGCTGACAGGCTCGGGAGACGCCCGGGGCTGCTGCTGAGTGACTTTTGTCTCTTATTTGCTTCCATTTGCTTCGGAATAGGCACCAGCTTCGCGGTAGGGTTTAGGGTTTAGGGTTTAGGGTTTAGGGTTTAGGGTTTAGGGTTTAGGGTTTGGCGGCAGTTCCCCTCGCCCTCATGTGCGCGCCGCGCCTTGTCCGACTTCGGCGTGAACGCGAGCGCGCACGCAGCTCGCAACGCGCAGCATTCGAGGCCTAGGGTTTAGGGCTTAGGGTTTAGGGTTTAGGGTTTAGGGTTTAGGGTTTGGGGTTTGCGCGCAGCTGGTGCTTGTGGGGCGTTTCTTCGTGGGCCTCGGAGTGGGAATGGGGTTTGTGGTTTACGCCACTTACATGTGCGAAATAGCTCCCACGGACTTGCGGGGGGACAGTTCCCCTCGCCCTCATGTGCGCGCCGCGCCTTGTCCGACTTCGGCGTGAACGCGAGCGCGCACGCAGCTCGCAACGCGCAGCATTCGAGGCCTAGGGTTTAGGGCTTAGGGTTTAGGGTTTAGGGTTTAGGGTTTAGGGTTTGGGGTTTGCGCGCAGCTGGTGCTTGTGGGGCGTTTCTTCGTGGGCCTCGGAGTGGGAATGGGGTTTGTGGTTTACGCCACTTACATGTGCGAAATAGCTCCCACGGACTTGCGGGGGGTTTTGGTGGCTTGCCAAGAAGTTGCGCAGTGCTCCGGTAAACCCTAAACCCTAAACCCTAAACCCTAAACCCTAAACCCTAGCGGGAGGTCGGGGCGCCTGTGCAGCGCCGGGCCTCCCTCTTCCACAGAAGAGTGACACTCTAAACCCTAAACCCTAGACTCTTCGCCGCAGGCGGGCGGCTGTTCTTCACCCCGAAAGCCTAAACCCTAAACCCTAAACCCTAAACCCTAAACCCTCGGTTGGGCGGCTGCTGCAGATCGTGGGCGAGGTGTGGGTGCTGCCGGAAAGCCCCCGCTTTCTGGTGGGGAAGGGAAGGCTGGAAGAAGCCAAGTGGAGTCTGCAGCGGCTGGGGTACTGCAGCAGCGCAGCAGAAATAGATTTATTTATTTTGCAACTTTTGGAAGAAAAAGAACACGAAAAAGAAGAAGAAAGAGTCCAAAACGAACTTCTTCTGCGCCGCGGAGTCAAGCTCAACACCTGGCGATTCGTGCGACAAACCCTAAACCCTAAACCCTAAACCCTGGCTTTCGAACGAGCACCCTAAACCCTAAACCCTCGCTTTCGAACCTAAACCCTAAACCCTAAACCCTCGCTTTTGAACGCACGCACCTAAACCCTAGTAAACCCTAGCAAACCCTGAACACAAATGGGGGGAATTCGTCCGCGCAAACCCTAAACCCTTAACAACGCCCGGAGATTCGTGGACCAAACCCTAAACCCTAATAATCGCCTCTTAAACCCTAAACCCTAAACCCTAAACCCTAACCCCCTTTAACCCGCTAGAACTATCCCCCGAGCTCCAACCCGTTCGGCCCCTCCTCCCCGCAAACCCTAATTCCTCCCCTCTCCCGCTGCCGCCGCCGGCTGCTGCTGCTGCTGCTGCTGCTGCTGCTGCTGCTGCTGCTGCTGCTGCTGCTGCTGCTGCTGCTGCAGACGCTGTGCAGGTACTGGCGGCTGCTGCGGACGCACCACCGGCCGATCTTGACTGCTGTTGGCTGCGCCGTTGCGCAAAATTTGACAGCAGCAAATTCGGTGATATATTTCGCAATAGACATTTTCACAATGGCGGGGATTTCAGACCCTTACTTGGCTGGCGCGGGAGTGGGAGCCATGAAGGTCGCAAACCCTAAACCCTAAACCCTAAACCCTAAACCCTAAACCCTGAGTAGACAGGCCCTCGCGAGCGGCGGTTGGGCTGGGCGAGGTTGCGCGGCGGCCGCGCTGCGCAGCGAGGCACGCGGATGCGTGGACTGCGCGGGACGCGGGGAGACCCTGTAAACCCTAAACCCTAAATTAGGGTTTGGTGCGTGCTGCGCTGCAGTTCATGGGAGTCATCTGCTGCATGTGCCTCGTGGAGAAGCTGGGCAGACGCGTTTTGCTGCTGCTCGGGACCTTCGGGGCTGTTGTGTGTCACCTCGTTATTGCGGTACGCCAAACCCTAAACCCTAAACCCTAAACCCTAAACCCTAGACTCCGCTTCATCGCGGGCTCCTCGGTACTTGCTGCGCTTTCCTTCAGTCGGGCTTTTTACTTCAGAAGACAGTGGATGTCCACGCAGCAGCAGCAACCGCCACGGACGCAGCAGCAGCAGCAGCAGCAGCAGCAGACGCAGCAGCAGCAGCAGGAACCACCCCCACTACGCTGCTGGTTGTTGGCATGCTTGTCTTTATGTTCTGCTGGAATGTGTCCTGGGCCGCTCTCATGTTTGTCGTCGCGAGCGAGGTTCGCTGCTGCTGCTGCTGCTGCTGCTGCTGCTGCTGCTGCTGCTGCTGCACCGGTGTTGCTCCTGCTTCTGCTGCTGCTGCTGCAGTGGTGTTGCTCCTGCTGCTGTCTGCTGCTGCAGACAAATGTTTTGTTGCTGCTGCTGCTGCTGCCGCTGAGAAGTGTTCTTGCTACTGCTATCGCTGCTGTCAAAGGAGTGTTCTTGCTGTTACTGCTGCTGCTGCTAGATTTACTTGCTGCTGCTGCTGCTGCTGGATGTGCTTGCTGCTGCTGCTGCTAGATATGCTTGCTGCTGCTGCTGCTGCTGGCGAGCGTCGATTTCCGTTCTTTCTGCGGGAAGCGGCATGCGAATAAAAGCTCTGAATTAATATTTTTATTTATTTTTATTTATTTATTTATTTATTTATTTATTTATTTATTTATTTATTTGTTTTTTGTTTCAGGTGCTTCCCAACTCCTGTCGCGGCGTCGGCATGGGCTTGACCATCACCGCCTTCTGGACTGTGGCCTTCATCATGCAGTCGACGCTGGAGCCTCTGTTTGTTTGCATCACAATAGCAGGCAAGTGTTTCAAATAAATGAATTATTTATTTTAATTATTTAAATAATTAATTAATTTAATTATTTAATTCAATTATTTAAGTCTTTAGTTCGTTAGAAACCCCCGAAGATCCCAGTTTCCTGTTCGCCTTGCTTTCGAACTTGCATCGAAACTCGTGTTTTCTTGTTTGCATCACAACAGGAGGCAGGCCTTTCAAATTAATTAATTATTTATTTTAATTTAATTAATTATTTTGTTTAATTAATTTAATTATTTAATTCAAAAAGGAAATCCCGAAGATCTCAGTTTCCTATTTGGCATGGTTGCGAACTTGCATCGAAATTCATGTTTTCAAGTTTTTGAATTTTGCCTCATTTTCGCTTTTTTGAATTTCGTTTTATTTCCACTTTTCCGAATTTTGTTTTATTTTCACTTTTAAATCATTTGTCTTTTCTTGCGATGATAATTCGTTGGTTTATTTGGGACTTGTTTTCGTTTGATTCCCGTTTTGTGGCGTGGAAGCAAACCCTAAACCCTAAGCCCTAAACCCTAAACCATCGCGCATGCTGCTTTTGCTGCTTCTGGCCTTCGCAGCCCTCAGGCAACGAGGGGCCAGTTCTGAGGGTTTAGGGCCTAGGGTTAGGATTTAGGCTTGGGGTTTAGAGCTAGGGTTTAGGGTTTAGGGTTTAGGGTTTAGGGTTTTTTGCGGAATGCATGCATGCAGGTACCTTTTTCCTCTTCTCCGGACTCAGTGCCCTTAGCGGAATGTTTGTTTACTTTTATGTTCCCGAGGGAAAGGGAATGGTATTGGAGGACATAGGATTATCTCAGCAGCGGAAGCAGCAAATAGCGGAGCACGCAGCACGTGCTGCAGCAGCAGCAGCAGACGCAGCAGCAGCAGCAGCAGACGCAGCAGCAACGCAAGAGGAAGCCGCAGCAGCGGGCCACGCAGCAGCAGACCTGCACGAGCCGTCGGACCCAGACGCAGCAGCAGCAGCAGCCGAAACGGCAGATGAGCTGCAGCAGGAGCAGCAGCAGCAGCAGCAGCAGCAGCAGCAGCAGCAGCAGCAGCAGCTGCGGGCGCGCGACGTGGGCATCGCCATCAACGGAATGCCCTGGAGTGTAGAACAGGACTGAACAGCTGCAGCAACAACAGCAGCAACAACAGCAGCAGCAGCAACAGCTGCTGCTGCAGCAGCAGCGAGCCAATATTTAGCGCGCTAGCTAGTTTAATGTGACTAGCTAGCGACGCAGCTAGCTAGCTAGCTAGCTAGCTAGCTAGCTAGCTAGCTAGCTCCTCGCGGGATGTACTTCATAAATGCTAAATGAGTAAAAGTGAATAAATGGAAATGAGGAAATAAATAAACTGGCAAACTTTATACAGCAATTAAAGATGTGCTCACTATAAACCAGTACTACTTTTTTATGGGGCAAAGAGCCAAACCCTAAACCCTAAACCCTAAACCCTAGAGAAGGCAGACGCGGCAGCCTGCATTTGCTGCTTCTCACCTTCGCAGCCCTTAATGAAGGGCCAGCTTCTTGGCTCTAGGGTTTAGGGTTTAGGGTTTAGGGTTTGCGCAGCTGCTCCGTCAGTGCGTGCGTTTTATTGCTTGCCGTGTGGCATTCAATGCTGCAGCAGCAGCAGCAACAACAGCGGCAGCAGCAGCAAGTGCAGCTGCAGCAGCGGCTGCAGCAGCTGCTGCTGCAACAAGGACTGCAGCAGCAGCAGCTGCTGCAGCAGTGTCTGCAGCAGGTGCTTCTGAAGCAGGGGAGCCGGGGCCCATAGAAGAGGCAGCGGCACGGCTGCTGCAGCAGCAGCAGCAAGGGAGAGGGGCCCCCGTTTTGGGGGCCCCTTCCGCTCTGTTGTTTTGAAGCAACGCATATTTGTAAATTGGGATTATTTATTCCTCTAGATCATTTAATCCATTTAAAAGCATTTATTATTTCATTTATATTTTTTTATTTTTATTTATTTAGAGTTTTATTTTCTTTTCAATATATTGAATAGTTTATAAAGTATTTGATTCTGTGCTGCTGCTGCAGCAGCGCCGCAGCAGCAGCACTTTGTCCGCAGTGACTGCACACGTTAGGCTCACTGTTTCTGCTGCTGTTGTTGCTGCTTGCTGCTGCTGCTGCTGCTGCTGCTGCTGCTCGCTGCTGCTGCTGCTTGCTGCTGCTGCTTGCTTGCTGCTGTTGAACGTTTGCTCCTGCTCCTGTTTGCTGCTGCTTGCTGCTGCTGCTTGCTTACTGCTGCTGCTTGCTGCTGCTGCTTGCTTACTGCTGCTGCTTGCCAACTGCTGCTGCTTGCTGCTGCTGCTTGCTTACTGCTGCTGCTTGCTGCTGCTGCTTGCTGCTGCTGCTGCTTCTGCCGCTGCTGCACTTTTTTGGCGCTGTGCGGCGCTTTTGTGTCTATTATTTTTGTCTTGGATTCTTTTTGTGTCTCTTGCTTTTTTCATTCGTTTCTTTTGATTTAAAAAGGCCCCTTGCCTGCTAGCTAGCTAGCTAGCTAGCTAGCTAGCCAGCTGCGGCCATTTAGCTAGCTAGCTAGACTAGAGGCTAGCTGGAATGGTTAGCTGGCTAGCTAGCTAGCTACGTACTAGCTAGAGAGGCAAACTCACTAGTTTTCGGCAGCTAGCTAGCCACGTAGCTAGTTAGCTAGCTAGCTACCTTGCTAGCCGCATGGCTAGCTACCCAAGTGGCTAGCTAGGTAGCTAGCTAGCTAGCCTAGCTAGCTAGCTAGCTGAAGTCCGAGAGGAAACAGCAGTGATAACAGATGAAGGCGCTGTGGAGTCTTAGCTAGCTGCCGACGTGGGCAGCCAGGGGAGCTAGCTAGCCAGCTAGCTGCCTGGCTAGCTAGCTAGCTGCATGCAGCTGCAGCAGCCCGAAAACAGCAGCTAGGGGGGCCCCTCAAAGGGCCCCTGGGGCCCCCAGGGGCCCCTCCCTAGGCCTCCCAAGGGGGCCCCGCTTCTGCTGCTGTGCTGCAGCTGCTGAACTGCAGCGCAGCATTATCTCCCAAGACAAACCCAGGGGCCCCCTCTGCCCCAGAAGACCCTTGGGAGAGAAGGGGGGCCCCCAGGGCCCCCAGGGCCCCTGGGGCCCCCAGGGCTCCTGGGGCCCCCGGGGCCCCCGGGGCCCCCCGGGCCCCCGGGGCCCCCCGGGCCCCCGGGGCCCCTGGGGCCCCCCGGGGCCCCCAGGCAAGGTCCCTCCAGGGGCCCCTCCAAAGGGCCCCCGGGGGCCCCTGGGGGGCCCCCCAAGGGCTGCGCCAGGGGGGGCCCCCCAGGGGCCCCCCGCGAGCGAAGGCGCCCATGTAAGTCTGGAGGGCCCCCAAAACTAAAATGGAAGGAGCAGCAAAAAGAGATAAAAGAAAAAGACAAAAAGAAAAAGAAAGAAAGGATGTGGGGCCCTCCTGCAGCAGCAAATATGCAAAGGGAGGCGCAGCAGCTAGCTAGCTAGCCAGCTAGCTTCGTGGCTAGCTAGCCACACAGGTAGTTGCACATCTGGCTAGCCAGCTAGCTTCGTGGCTAGCTAGCCAGAGAGCTGCCTAGCTAGCTAGCCATAGAGCTACCCAGCTAGCTAGCCAGCTAGCTTTGTGGCGAGCTAGCCACGGAGCTTCCGAGCTAGCTAGCCAGCTAGCTTCATGGCTAGCTAGCCACGGAGCTAGCTAGCTAGACATCGAGGTGGCTAGCTAGCCACAGAGTTGGCTAGCTAGACATCGGTGTAGCCAGCTAGCCACAGAGCTAGCTAGCTAGGCAGGTAACTTCGTAGCTAGTTGGCCACAGAGCTAGCTAGCTAGCCATAGAGGTAGCTAGCTATCCGCAGAGGTAGCTAGCTAGCCATAGAATTTGCTAGCTAGCCATCTAGGCTCGTAGCTAGCTAGCCACAAAGCTAGCTAGCCAGCAATATAGGCAGCTCGAAAAATTGCCTGCAGCTAGCTACGCAGCTAGCTAGCTAGCTAGCTAGAGCGTGGCTAGCTAGCCGCAGAGCTAGCCAGCTAGCTAGCTGGCTGCAACAGTTTGCTGTGGGGCCGATGAAAGCAGTAGAAACGGCCACAGATGAAGAGACGGATCAGGAGCGGCAAGCCCCAAACCCTAAACCCTAAACCCTAAACCCTAAACTCTAAACCCTAAACCCTAAACCTAAACCCTAAACCCTAAACCCTCAGTCTTACCTCGTTGGTTTTGAGGGCGCCTGGAGGAGAACTGCGAAGTCTCCGCTGCTGCTTTGGGGGACCCTCAAGGGTCTGCACAGCTGCCGCAAACAGCTGCTGCTGCTGCTGCTGCTGCTGCTGCTGCTGCTGCTGCTGCTGCTGCTGCAGCGGCACTGTTGGTGCAGTCAGAAACATGAGGGTAAAGAGAATCAGAGATAGGCAGACAACAGCAAACCGCAGCAAGTAATGCATCATCATCTTCCTCTGCTGCTGCTGCTGCTGCTGCAGCTGCTGCAGCAGCTGCTGCTGCTGCTGCAGCTGCAGCAGCTGCTGCTGCCGTAAGTGCTCCTGTCGCCGCAGCTGCTGCTGCTGCTACACCCGATGCTGCTGCTGCTGCAGGTGCTGCTGCTGCTGTTGCTGCAGGTACTGACGCAGGTGCGAGTGCAGTAGCTGCTGCTATAGATGCTGCTGCTGCCGCTGCTGCTGCGAGTGTTGCTGCTGCTGCTGCTGCTGCTGCTGCAGGTGCAGCTTGGGCGGCAGGTGCTGGTATTAGTTCAGGCGCTGCTGCTGCTGCTGTTGCTGCTGCTGTTGCTGCTGCTGCAGGGGTTTCTGTTGCTGCTCCCCGTACTGCTGCTGCAGGTGCAGGCGTTGCTGCTGCCAATCTTGTTGCTGCCGCTGGCGTTGCTGCTGCTGCTGCTGCTGCTGCTGCTTCTGTTGCAGGTGCTGTTGCTCTTGCTGCTGCAGCTGCTGCTATTGCTATTGCTGCCGCACCTGCTGCTGCTACATATCTGCTGCTGCTACTGCTGCAGGTGCTTCTGGTGTGGCAGGTGCCGCTGCTGCTGCTGCTGTCTGCCGTTGCAGGCGCTGCTGCTGCAGCAGCTGCTGCCGCTTCCGGTTTTGTCCTTTTTGCTGCTGCAGGTGCTGCTGCAGTGGCTGCAGCAGCTGCTGCAGCAGCGCCGTTGCTGCAGTTGCTATTGCTGGTGCAGCTGCTGCAGCAGCTGCTGCTGGAGGCGCTGCTGTTGCTGCTGGCGATCTGCAGCAGATGCAGCAGCTGCAGCAGCTACAGCTGCTGCAGCTGCTGCAGCAGTTGCAGCAGCTGCAGCAGCCGCAGCAGCTGCAGCAGCTGCTGCCAGCCGAAGAAGCTTCTACCCAGGATGGAGCAGCTGCTTTCGACCGCAGCAGAAAAGGCCTTGGCAGGTAGGGTTTAGGGTTTAGGGTTTAGGGCGTAGGGGGTAGGGTTTAGGGTTTAGGGTTTAGGGTGTAGGGGGTAGGGTTTAGGGTTTACGGTGTAGGGTTTATTGTTTAGGGTTTAGGGTTTAATATGCTGCTGCAGCGCATCCATGTGTGTCCCGACATCACGTCTCCACTTCGTAAACCCTAAACCCTAAACCCTAAACCCTAAAGGTTTAATCTTTTGACTTAAACCCTAAGCCTTAAACCCTAGATTTGAGTCAACCTATTAGGTTTCTCCAGTTATTCTCTTTTCTAACTTGCAAAATGTACCCTAGCCGAGGGGCCCCCTTGGGGGCCCCTGAGGGCCCCTGGGGGCCCCCCTGGGGGCCCCCCTGGGGGCCCCCTGGGGGCCCCTGGGGCCCCTACGGGGGCCCCTGGGGCCCCACATAGTTGCTGCTGCCTTTGCAAGAGTTTACGTTTTGTTGGCGAGTTTTTGTTGTTTAAATACTTTTTACTTTTTCTGTATTTCGCCCAAACGCTAAACCCTAAACCCTAAACCCTAAACCCTAGATCCGAATCGGGAGGCGCCAGGCCGTGGGCCGTGGGCCGGCAACGCCACTTCTTTCAGTTCTAGGGTTTAGGGTTTGCGTTCGAGGGTTTAGGGTTTAGGATTAATGCTCGAGGGTTTAGGGTTTAGGGTTTGCGAGGATGGAAACCCTCGAGTCCCACGGCACTCTTCTTTTCCAAGGAGCCGAGGCTGTAAGAAAACCCTTAAAAGATGTTTTCACTTAAACTGCATAATACCTTTATAGGGGCCCCCAGGGGGCCCCCTGGGGCCCCCCAGGGGGCCCGGTCCCCCTAGGGTTTGCGTTCGAGGGTTTAGGGTTTAGGATTAATGCTCGAGGGTTTAGGGTTTAGGGTTTGCGAGGATGGAAACCCTCGAGTCCCACGGCACTCTTCTTTTCCAAGGAGCCGAGGCTGTAAGAAAACCCTTAAAAGATGTTTTCACTTAAACTGCATAATACCTTTATAGGGGCCCCCAGGGGCCCTCTCCTGGGAGCTCTCCCAGGGGGCCCCTCCAGGGGGGCCCCTCCAGGGGGCCCCTCCAGGGGGCCCCTCCAGGGGCCCCCTCCGGGGGGCCCCTCCAAGGGACTCCTGCAGGGGGCCCCCATAAGGGGCCTCTGCAGGGGCCCCCTTAACGGGGCCCCTCCATGAGGCCCCTCCAGGGGGCCCCTGGGGGCCCCCTTTAGGTATTGTAAGCCGAGTTGCGGGGCCCTGTGGGGCCCCGTTGGGCCCCCTGGGTTCTGAAAAATGGCATTTGAGTTGCTGCTGCCCCCTTAACGGGGCCCCTCCATGAGGCCCCTCCAGGGGGCCCCTGGGGGCCCCCTTTAGGTATTGTAAGCCGAGTTGCGGGGCCCTGTGGGGCCCCGTTGGGCCCCCTGGGTTCTGAAAAATGGCATTTGAGTTGCTGCTGCTGCTGCTGCTGCTGCTGCTGCTGCTGCTGCTGCTGCTGCTGTGCTGTTTGCTGCTGCAGCGGCTGTTTCTGCTGCCCTTCTTGTCGCGGCGCTTTTGCCTGCTGAAGCAGCGCAGGCCCCGGGTGTACATACACCCCACACTGGACCAGCAGCAGCAGCAGCAGCGCATGCAGCAGGAAGTCCGGGCCATGCTGCGCTGCAGCAAAGCTGGAGTAGACGTTCCCCACTTGTTATGGGTCCAGCTGCCCCAGGGGGCCCCAGGGGAAGCCCCCGCGGGGGACCACTCAGGGGGCCCCCAGGGGCCCCCGGAACTTCCATCGCCCGCATGCACAACGCAGCAATAATCCACGGGGACTTAACCACCTCC